CTGTCCTGTCTCTCCCATCAGCCTGGGAGTCCCTCAGGGATCTGAATTTGACCCCTTTCCAGGGTCCTGTCACCTAGCACAGGTCTAATAAGGCTGATTTGAAGAAATGCACAGAGGAAAAACAGATGAACTAACTGAGCGGTGCGCTCAGCCAGAACATGCCACAGCAGACACTTTTAGCACCTCGGAGAGCTCCCTGTAAGGCCCTGCAGACTCCCTGCGCTGCCTCCCTGAGAACAGGACTTCGGACTCCTTTTCCAGCCCTGGATCTGACTCCCACAGGTTCTCAGATAAGGTATTTTCCTCTCCCTCAGACACTTCCAGGGATGGGAGGAGAGGACAATGGTCCCCTACTTTGTTGAACAGCTAGAGGGGTAGAAGTTTGTTCTACACGTATGAACCAACCTCTTGTAGTTCCAATGCTTGGTCTCCGTGACCCCTGCAGCCAACCTGTGAGGTAGGTGCTACCATTGCCATGGGTCAGGTGAGGAAACTGAGACCCAAGCACCTTTACCCCTCAAGGGAGTCAGGCCCACCCACAGATCCCTACTTGGAGAAACATAATGGCCCCACTGAGTCCATCCTTTTCCAGGCTGAGGACTCCTTATCCCACATTTGTGCAGCCTTAGCTTCCAGCCACCTCCACCCTGGCTGCCTCTCTGGTGCTTGCTCTCTGACCATGCAGGCCCAGAGGGACACCTATACTTAGTTTGTTGAAAGTCTGAAATGAGTTTCTCTTTTAATTTCACTGACTTCTCTCAACAATTTTTTTAGTTGGCCAAGTGGCTCTCTGGCAGTTAAATTCTAGGAATGATTCTCACAGGCTAAGGCTGGTGCCACCCCACTCACTCTAAGCAGCTTGAGACAGAGCAGTGATTCCCAAACTTTCTGAATCAGACAAATATCCTGGGGCATCTGTTAAAATGCAGATGCACGGGCACCCCCAAGAGTCTGGTTCAATAAGTCTAGGGCCCAGGAATCTGTATTTCCTAACCCAGGTTCCAGGTGATTATTATAATTGATTGGGGTGGTTGGGGGGCAGTCAAACAGAACTGCATGTTCCTGGCAAAGCAGATAGCCCATGCAAAGGCCCTGAGGCATGAGAGAAAGTGGTAAGATTAAGGAATCCCACGGCACTTGGAATAAAATCTTTATGCCTTTTGCCATGATTTGTAGCCCTGTAACCCCCTGTTGCCTCTCCACCCCACAGCCCAGCCACTGTACCCTGGCTCACTAGCCCAGTCACACTGGTATCTGTCTGTGTGGGAAATAAGCCTGCATGTTCACTATTCCTCTGCTTGAAATGCTCTCCCTCTGGTCTTGTCATGGCTAATTCTTCCCCACCCTGCACATTTCAACTTAAATGTCATCTCTGCACAGAGGCCACCCTGGCCACCCCTCTAAAGCAGGGACCCTCAATCCTCTCTAGAATCATACCTTGTTTATTTCTTTTTCAGCACCAATAATTATGGAGAATTATCTTGTTAATATGTGTTCCTTAGGCCAGGGCCTTTGTTTTGTTCATGGCTATATTTTTACTGGCGAAATCAGCTCCCTGTGCATGTAGCAGCAGGCAGGGAGATATTTATGAAACGGATTAAGAGTTCTGTGTGGAAAGAGTGACAAAGGAGCAGGTCAAAGTGGGACATAGGGAGCTGGAGCCAGAGCATGGATGCTCAGAGTGGTCCTGCCAACCTCCACCCACCCCTGTCCCGGGAAGATGGGCTCAAGTGCCCCATGGTGGCCCTGGGCAGATATTACCTGCTTGGTCATTTAGCTGGTTATAGCTCAGGTCCAGGGACTTCAGGCCTGTGTGGGCCAGTAGGAGTTCAGCAAGGTACTGGGCTGCCTGCTCCTCCAGGCTGTTCCCTGCCAGCTGTACCTTTTGCATGGTGGGGTTCACTGTGAGGGCAGCACAGATGGCCTGGGCTCCCACTGCTCCCAGCTGGTTCTCCGACAGGTCCACATCTGGGGGCCAGCACCACTCCTCAATCAGTGGATCCACAGCCAGTCACCACCCTCCTCCATCTCCCAAACTTCCAGGCCTGAGGCTGGAGAAGGGGCTTTGCAGTCAGACTGTCCTGGGGTACATGGCGACTCTGCCACCCCTAGGCTGGGTCCCCTCAGGCCCCAGGCAGCTTCCCTGGTGTCCATCCCTATCCTGTGTGTCCATGAACTTCTTTGTCAAGGGGCTAAAGTCACCTAGTTTGTGTTGCTATGGAGAATGCTTGTGATGGAGATGCAGCCGCCCCATTGATGATTCGTGCCTGGCAACAATTTAAACCACCCACAGAAGCCCTCACTGGGGACTAGCATAATAATCCAGGTGGCTGTGCTCAGGGCACTTATGTGGGCCAGACATTCCGAGCACTTATGTGGGCCACACATAGTTTCACTAATGCTCACCACATCCTCAAGGGCAAAGTGGTATTGTTAGGGTTATTCCACAGATTGAAAGCTGAGGCTCAGCGAGGTCACCCCACTCTTCAGTAGCAGAGGCAGCATTTGAATTCAGCCCCACCAAACTCCCACCCAGCCCTCCCTCCTCTCATTCTGCCCAGCCCCTGCCTCTGTATCAAAGGACTCTCTCACCTGCAGTCAAGCATTGAGAGGCCACCATACACAGAATGTGCTGGCCAGCAGAGGCGGGGAGTGGGTAGGGTGGGGCGGGTCAGGAAGGGAGTGGCGTCCAGCATTGGGTGCACCACAGAGGGTCTAACTCCACCCTGTGATGAGGCCCTTCCCCAGCAATACTAGCAGGCTCCAGGTGAGAAGCCCTGGCTGTTGGGGGGCAGGGGTTACCCACATCCCTCAGGAAAGGGAGGACTCAAGTATGCCCACCTGCCCCAGGCTCAGCACCTACCACAGATGCTGCTGCTTTTGCTCAGAGCACCTGCCAGGGCCTCCGCACCAGTCCCACATAGCCCGTTGTCCCGAAGGTCCAGCCGCTTGACATAGGGATTGGCGGTCAGTGAGGAAGCCAGAGCCCGAGCCCCCTGGGACAGAGAGGGGCCTGAGGAGCCTGGTCCTTCACAGGGCTAAAGGCCCCAGACACAGCTAGCTACTACTCTGGCTTGTTTCCAGGGCTCAGCCCACTCGGTGCCTTCCAGCTGGAAGGTCCTCCCTTTTCCACATGCCCAGGGGACACCTACTTTTCATTCTAAGCTCCACCAAGATCTCACCTCCTGGAGCCTTTCCTGACCCTCAGCAAGTTAGGTGCCCACCGCAGGCTTCCCAGCCCTTATACTGAACCCTGTCATAGCCCCAATCCTACCTGTCACCCAGATGTGGGGGGTGGGGCGTTCCTGGCACAGAGAAAGGTCAGGGAGTGCATGGGATGGGCTCCAGGAAGGGAGCTACACCAATGGCTACTCCCTCCTGCGTCTTCTCCCTCCAAGCCTGGCCCTAGGGTCTCTCCAGGGGTACCTGGGGCCCCAGGCCACGGTGCCGCAGGTTCAGCTCTGGGGCGCTCCCTTGGCGCAGAAAGCAGGAGGCGGGCACGACGCTGTGGACCCGGCAAGACCTCAGGTAGAGGGTGTCCTTGACCAGTTCTCCAAGCCCATGGGTGCCTGAAGGAAGCACCGGGAAGAATGTGGATCCCTGCCCAGGCACAGCCAGCCACCTTCCAAGGGCTCCCCTCTCCTCTGTCACGACCCAGCATTTTAACATCACTCTGGAAATTTGTTCTAATGGTGGGATTCCTGATTCGGCCAGGAGTATTGACCGGAGGTCTCGGAGCTGGAATTGCCTCCCACTGCCCTAAGGGTGTCCCACGGAGGGGTGCGCTCCCTGCTCTGCTGGACAGGGGTCCCCTATCCACTCGGCCCCAGCCTGCCCCCTCCACTCCTGCCGGAGAAGTCCCCAAGGTAAAGAGCCAGGCCTGTTCCCCTCTGCGGGGGGTCACCTTCTGTCTCCGGGTCGGAGTCTGAATCCACGTCCGAACCCTCTTCGGCCTCTGGGACCCATGCAAAACACCCAGCGGCCGCCGCCGCCTCTTTCTCCCGCTCTTCACTCTCCCCAGCCTCCTCGCAGGGACCCCTCATGGTTATGCTCATTTTGCAGTCGCCTGCACTGAAGTCCGGACTGCGCGCGACGGCGTCGCCTAGAACGCGGCGGGGGATGTGGGTGGATTCTCCGGCAGCATCGACCAATCGCATGTGGCGTGTAGCGAACAGGCACCCTCTGCAGCCAATAGATAAGTGCTGCCCGGCGGCAGTCGCCTCGGCAACTCGGTATTGTGGGTTGCTGCAGAAACGGCAGTGGCTTGCTCTGACCTTGAGTCGGCTCCTTGCCCGGCGAATAAGAGCGCGCGTCAACGGTCCAGGCTCATGGCTGAACGCTTTGCTTTGCTGAAGCGCTTGTTTTCCCCCATGTGGTTCCAGCGTT